CAAAGGCATAATAATATTTATGAATTTAAAAGCACAGGGATGCTATGATTGAGCCATAGACTACATTATATACACAGCAATATAAAGTAATTGTATAAACGAAGCTATAATTAATGGTTCCAAATTACATGCGTGACCAAATAAAAATTTGCTGTAGCATTCAAAGAAAAAATTTGGTAGTCCACCATTCTGTGTCGGTTTCTTCGTTGTAATCATTTAACATGACTTAAAACAGAGATGAAACAGTACTTAAAATATCAGTAATAAAAAAATACACATAATACATGTACAGTATATATGGCAACATATATCAAATCTCCTTGTGAGATAAAATAGCTTTAATTATCTATAGTGCACATAAAAGGACTAGGAGCATTGTTGAAAGGGGGATAGGACAGTTAAAACGCCGCTTTCATGTTCTGCATGGAAAGATACGATTGTCGCCTCAGAAGGCATGTCAGGTTGTGACAGCATGCGCGGTCCTCCATAATATTTGTAAAGATCGACAAATTCCAATTCCTGCTGCTGCTGCTGATGATGACAGCAATGATGAAGATGATAGTGATGATAATGCTCAGGGTCACATGAAAGCTAGAAAATGATGGTGCTGCTCGAGGCAACAACATTAATGGCACATTGTACAGACAGCAGTTTGCTGAAACTCACTTTTGACATCACAAATGAACAAAGTAAACTGTCAACAATTAATATTTAATATTCATGAACACACTTAACATGTGAAGAGCCAATATCTTGACTTATTTGAGGTCAAATATAAAATTTTATATCTTAATAAATATAATTTAAAATCTGATAGGTACAATAATAATATGCACAGTATTGAACAAGAGGCCCATGGGTCACATCACTCACCTGTGGACTTTGGCTAGAGAAAAGCAGAAATCAGTTACTGAATAGATCAAATATATAGTAGTCCAACCCTACCCTCTCCTTTCAAAAAAAGGGGGGCTAGGGATGAGGCATGATTTGAACAAACTTGAATGTACGCTATGAAATGAAACCTTCAATGAAGTCTTTTTTCTTCTTATTCTTTTATGGCCCAATGGTTCTTGAGAAGAAAATTTTAAAAAGATGCCTTTAAATTTTCACAAATTCTTAACTATCTCATCTTGAAAGAGGATGTGGCACTTCACCTAAACAAACTTGAATCCCTTTTACCCATGGATGCTTTGTTGCAAGTTTGGTTGGAATTGGCCTTGTGGTTCTTGAGAAGGAGTCGAAAATGTGAAAAGTTTACAAATGACGGACAGATGCCAAACACTCTTCGATCAGAAACACTCTAGCCTTCAGCTCAAATGAGATAAAAAGTATGTATAGATTTCTTTATGTACTGCAACTATAATCCATCCTTAAGAGAAAATACCACACCAAAATGTTATTTGCTGGTTCTTGAAAATGTTGTTTTGAAATATGATTTTATCACTGAAATACCTAATAAGCTCTTTACTTTTCCTAATTTTTTCCAAGAGAAAAAGGAAACAAGGGAAAAGAGGCCCATGGGCCACATCACTCATCTGAGTAACTTTGGCCATGCTGTTCTTTACCAGATTTCCCCCTTGTAATACCTATTGTGGCCCCGCCCTACCCCCGGGGGTCATGATTTGAACAATTTACAATTTACACTACCCCAGGATCCTTCCACATAAGTTTCAGCTTTTCTGGTCCAGTGGTTCTTGAGAAGAATATTTTTTAATGACCCCACCCTATTTTTATCTTTTCTTGATTATCTCCCCTTGTAAGGGGACTTGGCCCTTTATTTTAATAATTTTAGCTCCCCTTCAGGTAAGGATACTTTGTACCAAGTTTGGTTAAAATTGGCCCAGTGGTTCTTGGGAAGAAGTTGAAAATGTGAAAAGTTTACAGATGGACGGACGGACGGATAACGGACAACAGGTGATCAGAAAAGCTGACTTGAGCTTTCAGCTCAGGTAAGCTAAAATGGTTTGATTACATATAAGATATTTTTAAAATTTGAACCAATCCAGATTGAAATAAAACTGAATTAAAAAGAGAGATAGTGTCTTTAAAGATTCATTATATAACATTTTGGTTCGGTATTCCTCCTTTATTGTAAAAGGTCACTTCAAAATTTTCAATCCTCATTATCTTCCAATTTACGTTGGAGGGCCTTTACTTTCAAATTGAAATACTCTATCTCTAATTTTAGCTTCTTTACAGTCAACTCCTCAATCAAATCTTGCTTGCTTTGAGATGGCTTTCTTGATATACTGGTGCTATTGTGTGGGGCAATAAAGTTGACCTTTCTGCCACCACAGGCAATGGCGAAGAAGTCGATGTTGTTGTTGGTGATGACAACCCAGGGGATAGTGGTAGAATGCTAGTTGATGCTGATGATACATGCTGATGATTGTTGGAACTTGCCTCTTGTAAAAACTGAATGGAACTGAAACAATTAAAAGACCATCAACTTTTATAATTATTCACATTGTTTATCTTTTTTTAAGGAAAGTCTTATGTTCATTGAAGATAATGTTTATGACTTCCAAAACATTTCATTCCTTATTCTCCTAAAAATAATTTTACCCTATATTCAATTCACAATTTATTTCCTAGAAGAAAAATATCTTTCTTTCTGCTTCCCCAAACAACTCTAATTTATAACGCTGACCCTAATGTTTTTTACTGCTTTTTTCAGTGAAGATATGAATTTAAGAAAGGTTTTAAAGAACTATTTCTTTTGCCATCAGTGCTACTTAGAAGTTTTGTTTTTGTAAAGAAGTCCTGGAAGTATTTTTTAATTGCTTTCCTACTCTTCATTACCATATATTTGTTTTTAGCCTGAAAGCAGAATCAAACACTTTTTTCTAGGCCCTTTTAAAATTTTTAATTTCTCATACCTGCATGCATACTGATCGAGTTGAGAAACTAAAATTGATTATACAATGTATAATATATGGTAATGGAAGAACATTACTTTTATTTACCAAACATTTTCATCTGTAAAAAGATGTAGAATCTGTGAAGAGTCAATGCCTGCATCTATCCCACTTATTATAGAATTTGTTTCCCCAATTACCATTTGTACTGTCTCTGCTACAGCACTGAGAGGTTTTGAGGGAGGTCCCCCACCTGTGGTAATACAGAAATTGATAAGCTGATCATGCAAATAACACATTGCTATGCATGTTCGTCTACAAAAAATATAAATTTATACCAAATGATCCAAATGCCAAGTAATAGTTATTGTATATTTATTATGGTGTATCCTGATTTGGACGAAGGGCGGTGATGAGTGCGAAGCACCAGTCTCCGCCCCTTCGTCCAAATAAATCAGGATACACCATAATAAATATTCAATAACTTTCTTGTATCATGGCCAATCAAAACGTCAATATCTGTTCTGTCCCAAATTTTCAAGCATGATTTTTAATTACACCAATAAAAAATTTAGTTTTTGTCAGGTGACCGCATGAATATTCTCTCCTTCCTGCCAGTATTTTTTTTTTTAATTCGCACATTTTTTGTGTGTATTCATGAGAGAAAACGTCGGATTGCAGCTCTCCAACTTAATATATTTACATTTGCTGTGTTTTTCTACTATGCCAACTGTGAAATTGATTTGAAAGTCATTTTGTGTATACTCACGCGTAGAAATATACACGGTGAAACTCGCGCTAAAGTGACGTAACAATGAGGCTACAGAGACATTAATAAAAACGTAACATATAGGGCAGCAAGAAATTCAAATATTGAGTATATTATTGGTGCTAATAAACGTGTAAAATGTAAATATGAGGAATGTTTTTAAGTTTAGTGTGAATTATTGGTGTGTAAATCACACAGACTTGCACGTAGGCATGTTTTTTATGAAGCGCTAGAGCGCTTCATGAAATATGCCTACGTGACAAGTCTGTGTGATTTACACACCAACAACTCACACAAAACTTAAAAACATTCCTTAAAAAAATGGATTGTTAATGAAATTCATAAGAAAACCTTCGGATTTCAAGGATGAAAAATTCAAAGTTGATGATGGGAAATTCAGGTGTTAATCGAAAATCAAGGGAAAAAAAGATACCCGTTGATCATTTGACATATTCGAGAGCTGCGGCATGAGCAAAAACGCTGTAAAAACATTTCTTATTTTGGGATACATGTGCACTGTAATTTATAATGAGAAAGACCTTTATTTCATTTTCATTAATTTTGTCTTTGTATATATCAAAGCCCATTTTATTCTGTATTTCTTCAAAATACATGTAGGCCAAATTTAAAATGTTGAAATCGCCTTGGTGTTCAATAATTTATTTACACGGCACAGTTTTGCTGGCTCCGAATTAGTGTTACCTGTGGCAGTTGCCTCCTTTCTGTAAGAGGAAATCTCAGATTTGGCTGTTGACAAGATATTCTGCCATTTTTTTTCCCCACTTCTTCGACGGTCCTCGGCGTACTTGACGACGCGTTAATTGCTCCGTCACCCTCTCCCAAGTGTCTTTTTTTCATTTTAGATGTAAGGTTAGGCCCTAATTTGGAACGCAGTATGTGCTTCTTTTCATTTACTAAGGTGGCTAGAATAAAACATTCCTCCTGTGTCCAGTTTGCTTTCCTCTTTTTTTCTCGTTTCTCATCGGACGCCATCTCTCGTCTGTATCTAGATCTATTTATAAACTGTATTTGACATAAATACCTCCATCACATAAGAGCGCTCTTTTTGTTCGGGAATTTCTATGCGTTGCTAGGGTGATTGAACTTAAGTGTTCTAATTTTCTTAGAATTCAAACTTAGCTAAGAATTGTACTTAGAACTTTTATGAATTGATACTTAAGATTTTTTCTTAGCTAAGGTTTGTTTTAGTACTTAAGTGCAACTTTTAAGAATAATCTTAGAAGTTTTATGAATCCCATCCCAGATAGACATTACACTTCAAAACAGATTTTAAGGATATGTCATCAACATACGATTCGTCACATCTTTTCCATTTGAGCTCTCCTTTTATTTTCACATAGCTAATATAATGTCCACTTTTTTCGCTTCCCCAATGAACAACGACTCCAAATGACCGATATGGCCGCAATGTATCATCCCCAATTTTCTAAAAAAAAAATATATCAAACAATATTACAAAGCAGTGAATAAAAAGAAAAATTACGTCTGACAAACAAAAAAGAAAACAAAAGAAACTAAATATATAGCTTGGGAAACAAAGAGTATTTATTCTATACTATACCCTTTTTAGCTCAGTGTTAGTCAATCCGTCAAAATTATCCCAGAATCTAACAAAATTTCTTCGTTTTTCAAAGCTGCATTCTTGTTGAGAAAGGTCAACCTACATACTAAAACAACGCTCCGTATTGCAATTGTTTTAAAATGTTTATTAATGGGTATGAAGAACAAGAGTCACATGGGCCAAACCGCTCTCCGAAACAGCTTGGATTATTGCTGCTCTTTATCGGATAAAGAAAAAAAAAACCTATATTTTCATAGTGTATGTTGACTCAATATTGTAAACAAAACTAAAGTGTGTATGATTTATCAAAATTATCTTCTCTCAACATTCAGATGCGTTTGTTATCAGTATGACTTATTTGGAATGTTCTTAAAAGAAATATTTTTCCTGTTAACAAGTTTTATGTGCATGAAAAATTCTGTTCTTCCAACTTTAACCCGAAACTTCACAAGTTTTCGGAAGTTAAAAAAGGACTTAATTTGTGTCTGTTTGTTGTTTATTGTCCCTCTGCAGAATTTTTCACTCATATTGAGACGACACCACTTGCCAGTGGAGAGCTGCAAATTTTGACCTATACTCGGTACTCAAGGCAATTGTGCAGTGAGGGATGTTTTTCGTGACAGCATCTACTGCGACACGGGACCTCGGTTTAATCGGTCTCATCCGAAGGACCGGTATCGACGTCCCACAGTGGGATTCGAACCTGCAACGTAAGGATCAACTCCTTACTCCGCAGCAGACGTTCTACCACTGCGCCACGCTTAATGATAAACGATTAAATATAGACGAGCAGACACACGGATAAACTGAGGTTCTGGCCCTAAGATCATAAAACAGACTTAGACCTCAGTCAAATTTTCAATCGCCTGTAAAATGTTTATCAATCATCGAATTTATCTCTAAATTTTGCAGATAACAATACTTTTGTAAAGCAATATTGAAAAGTATTTTAAATTTTGTCTGCTTGACTTCTACTAAATTTTAAAACAACATTAAGATTTTGACTTAAGCTTAAGATGTTCATGATCCCGGGACCAGGTGAGATAAAAAAGGAATTAACCCCTTCCTTCTTTTCAGTTCATATGATATTGTATAAGAAATAAAAAAAAAATAAATAGAAGGATATGTTATTCTTTCATAGTCAGTTTCAATATTGTGACGGTTTCTTTATGTCTAAAAAGTTATAAAAAGACTTCTTTTACCTCCTGAATTTTGGAAAATTGTAGAACAAGAATTGTAGGAAATTGAACAATCTCAAGCTGTTTGGTCATTTTCTGAGATCCTTAATGTTTAATATATATATATATATATATATATATATATATATATATATATATATATATATATATATATATATATATATATATATATATATATATATATATATGTATTTTTTTCATGTAATGATGTTGATCGTATAAGTATACTAGTAAAAAATCTTTCATTTTAAATTTATAAAACATATGATAGAATATCAGATGTTATTTTTTTATCATGATTTAAGACTCCTACCGTAGGACATTTAATATCTGCCTTATAGATGCATGTCTTAAGTCTTAAGTCTATAGGGCGGTAGCCTATATTTTGATTCTAAACAGTAGTGTTTAGAGATAAAAGTAACTCCTTTGACAGTATAATGACACATGTACAACCGGGGTTTGAGGCCCTGAACGTACGCGTGTTTTTAAGTTAAAGGTTTTAATTTTAACAACAATCGGAAATGTTAATTCCATGCATTATTGTATAGGAAAAAAGATAAAGAAATTGTCAAAATGGCCAATAAGCTTCGCCCTTCTGTATGTATTGCTTATGATGTAAAAAAGAAAAAGAAACCGAAAGCAGTAAAATTCCTGGACTTTAAAATATTGATTTTTTGGGTTGACATTGATACATGTACATGTATATATAAATATACACCTAGCTTGAGAAAGTTTGTTGATACAGAGGAAGATGGACTTTTCCAGACCTCGGACGCGCAAGTCAATGACTGTCTTTATTAGAAACCAATCTGGAAGTACACGTACCGTCACAGTTGATCCAGTAAGATATTGAATTAGAATATTTTTAATTTTAATCAATTAAGTATTGAAAGCACCGATCGGGGGAGGTTTAACTTTGGCAATTTTCTTTTAAATGAGTGTTCATAATGACGGCTTGGTGTAAAATGCGGAGGATGGAGTCTCCAAAATGGAGTGTCAGAAAGTGCAAGGGATAGAGCTTCTTATGTCAATGTCAACTTATTTGACTGTTTTATCTTTCATTCAGTTTTAAGACACTTAAATCTAATAAAACATCTTACCAATGTTTAAATGTTACTGTTGCATTCGGTATCTGTTGTCTATCAAAATATAATTCAAAAACACAGGCTTCATGCCCCTGGCATTTTTGGTCATTTTTGGACTGAAGTTTTCAATTGTATCTTATTTTTTGAGAAAAGAAAATGTCAACAATGCACTAAAGGATAATTTTGGTGCTGTTTTCTGTTTCATTCAGTCTCTGTTATCTTAAAAATTTAAATAAAAAACAAAGCTGTTCCCCTTGTTACCATGTGAGGATCATATATTTTTTCAGTCTCCTAGCTGTTTCTCATTTCATACTTCATAAGATATTGACAAATGGTTTACACAAAATTGAGATTCGGCAGAAAATAGATTCATTCAACTTCAAAGAAATTATCCTTTAATTGTTTGGATAATCTGACATTATAACAACTTCTTATGGATAATTAGAAATTGTGTTGACAGATCTAATACATGTAATTAGTATTAGCAACAAAATTCCCTACCCCTTGCATTATCTCCACCTCTTGCACTTTATGACACTCAATTTTGGAGCCTCCGTCAACCAGATTTTACACCAAACCGTCATTATATGATAGCATGAAACCCTTAAAAGTGAAAAGTAGCATAATGAAATGTGTATTTTGTTGAATATACTAATTATTTAAAATATGACTCCTATAAAAATTTACATACCAGCTAGTTATGTTTTTTTAATGTAAATATTATCCACCTTCTTAACAATGACTGCATGCTATCTTTTCCTTTCTTAGAAACTCACGGATTCTTACTGACAAAGTAAACTAGGTAGGTGTGATAATTGTTTTGTATCAATAATGAGTATGTCAAACAATATCAATGAGTGCATGTACGAGGGGTTATCAAAAAGTTCATGGACTAGCGCCATGAAATTAAAACTTCTTGCATCAATGAATTCTAATACATTTAGTCAGCAACATCTTTTCTATCTATAGAATAAACTATAAATCATAAGTTTTATTTTTTAATAAATTGCTAATATTTTGTAAGCAATGGTATGCCAAGGCGATGCAGTCTCGAACATAACGTTTGTTTCTACCTGAAAATAACTGAGAAAAACTCTTTTGATATGAACATTTGTCATCCAAAAATCCCGTTAGTTCAGGCATATGGTATGAGACAATTGTTCCGTAAAATTTTCATTTTTTACCCTATTCTGTAAATTTATCCTTAATTTCATATGGAGTGTCCAAACAATTAAGGGCTTGAAAATGACGCCAAAAAGGGGGAGAATTTTCTTTTTCCAACATACCATAAACTTTCGCCCCTGAAAAAAAACTGGTATAGACCTAGGAAATGTTTTAACAGGTTACAGGGAAATAAAATGCATCAAGAGTACTTGTTTTTAAATGCCAAAAAAGATTCAGAGAAATGAGAGATGCACAGTTAATGTCAATTTGTAGTCAGTCACTTCGATAAGTGACGTTGATCATGTACATGTGTGGTAAAAATGTTGAACTCCGACAAGCAAAATATGCTGGCATAATCAAGTGAGGATCTTTCCCTATGTATAGATCCATTTACAATATTATATACATTGAAAGAAGCTGCATGTTCATGACATTGAAAAGTCATATACACAAGACGGGTTTAAGTCCTTACTTAACTCCAGGGGATCTAATCAAGATAAATGTATGAAGTAGAGGGAGCGGACATTGAGAATCAATGACGTTCTCGAACGTCATGAAATTAAAAGGCGACAGCGCCGGGTGATCATATAATGTCTTTTTTATTTTATTATAATTTGGCAAATTATCAACGTATCTAGCTAAAATTTTCAACATTTCTAAAACTTTTGCTGTTGTATGTTCCTAATATATTTTGTAAGCACAGATTTCATATTTTATCGCATCAGTCCACGAACTTTTTGATAACCACTCGTATATTCTACAAAACAGTAATACTAAATATTTGACTGATTCTGTGCTTGCTGTATTTCTAGGGTGATTCAATTGAAACGCTATTTGAAGAGTGGAGTGCGGCTGATAATAATACTGTATATACAATCGATAGCGCTCGGTTCGTATTCGCAGGGCAAGAGCTAAAACCAGGCAGAAGAATTTCAGATTACAAAATTGAAGATAGATCAGTTGTCTTTCGTATTCTAAGACTTGCTGGAAGTTGATTATAAACAAAAAGAGGCTGTGTTTCTAACCTTTGTGAAAAAAAAAATAAATATATGTGAATGAATTATATGATTGAATATTCTCGAATTTCAGCTGGCCTGGCTGAGATCCAACAATGTAGGAAAAGTACTACGTTATGTCCACCTGATGCATAAAAAAATGTATCAGTCGAAAACGATATACATGTACATGTATTTAAAACAACTTACAATGTATACAGACATAAGAGTTACATTATCGATAATATATATTACATATTAGATTACAAAAAAAGGAATAACGTATGTCGGTCCCAGATTCTAAATGAAAAATGAATTTTCAACATTAAGAGTCGAATCCCGGACATAAAGCTGATACAGTTGTAAATATAGTACAAGTTTGGCTTTCCAGAAAGCCGGAAATGTCATCTCTTTGGTTTCATTTATGTCACAGAATAAAAAGAAGAATATTTCATATTTTTCAACGAATAATCGAGAAACTTTACTTCATTGATTTAAAAGAGTTTTCGAGGAAAATGATTGTAGAGGAAATTGTAACCAGTCATTCATAGAAGTTTTTCTAGCCAGAAGGCTGCTAAAAACTAGGCGTTTCTTTTTCCTTTATTCCTCAGTCGCCTAGAAGTTTAAAACTCTTATTTATTTCCTCAATGACTTTCCAAAGCTTTTTTTCAAAGTAATTTTGCTATTTAGCCACTGGGATATTAAGGTAAAATGAGCCATCCACGCACACCTGTCCCAATTTCAATTTTAAAGCTATATATCATATTAAATACACGTATGCTACTGGAAAAATGAAGATGGAAAAAAATGCCACAAAATTTTCTCGCAATCTACAGTATGTACTTTTATAACTTTGCATTCAAATTATATGTCAAATTTTAATTTTTGGAGAAAAATGGGTAAGGTGAAAAAATTTCACGTAATAATCTAAAAAAAAAATCCGAATTGAACGACCCGGATAATGTAGGTTGATCTATATAATTGGTATTAAAATGGCGTAAACCATCGGTTTTTTAAAAATTCTTTTCTGGGTACAACATTCTCATCTACAAAGATTTTGTATCTGTTACCGTAATTCTAATATAAATTCAACAAGTTGCTGTCCCTTTAAAAAAAGAACTGCAATACGTGGACCATGCACGGGCTTGTGTATTTAACGGAAATCTAAAAGAGAAATCTTTCTTGTACGAGAATTTGTATCATAAAATAGATTTCTCCAATCCTGAAACATATAAATATTTCATGCTTTGATGTTGCTAAAGCTGCAGTAATAAAAAAAATAGAAGCACTTCCTGGATATCATATATACTAGGCATTATTAAGTTACTTATTGTACTATAGAATACTTTAAAGGAACAGAATTAAGGGGGTCACTTATGTGACAAAATAACCCTGTATGTGGTCAAAAGTTCAGAATAAAGATAGAGTCTAGCTTAGGCAGTGTTTATTTCATTGGCATGAAAGACAATTAAAACCGCGTGGGACTGACGTAGTTGAAGATGTACAAAATCGTCCCCAGGAATTCGTCCTATTTTCCATTTTGAATGATAACCGTTGAATAGTTTTGTTATTTAAAGAAATAAGCAAGTAATAGTTATTGAGCCTTCATTTCTTCATTTTTTATAAGTTGCTTGTAATTTAGAGACACTCCCCATTTTAACTGGTAAATAAAAAAAATTACCTGATACTATATATACACAACTATACAATAATTATCCATCGAGACACTAAATAGAATATGTTCCATTGATAAAATGATGAATGTCCTACGGATCCCGTTTAACGTTGTGGTGGGGAACTATCCCTTGATACAGTCAGATTATTCAAACTATCGAGATACTTGTACACA